CATAAAACATATTGAGTTTCTTTTCTCTCAAGTCATATCAATTTTTTTCTATTTAAAGTCTATTTTGATTCCTGTCTATACTTGTTACACAATGTCTCAAGAATGACTCCTGGGTATGTATTAAGTAAGAAAATAAGGTTTCTAGTAGGAAAGCCTGCATACTGCTAATTACAAAGATGCCACAGTTTACTTTTCTCTGAATTGTTTTTAGAATTTGCTGGTGACAGGGGCAGTTGACTGTAGCTTAAGAGGCTGGGACTTAAGGAATGTACGACAACCTGTGTTTGAACTTCTTGGTCATACCTATGCCATTAGGAGAGTGAAAGTAAGTTTTTATCTTTTCTTTTGATATGGAGAATTAAAATTTAAATATAAATATGATCAGTGAAGCATATATAAATGTGTTTTGTATGTTTGGGGTTAGAATTATTCTTTTGTTTGTATGTATGTTTTATTTTGTTTTGTTTTACCCCAATTGATGATAATAAATATTGAAAGGTAAAATTATTTGAATAATTATTAAATGAATTTGGACATTGTAGATGTTCAGTGTATAAAGTTAAATAAAAATATTTTCTCATTCTTTCATCCCTGATTGACTAATTATTTCTTAATTATAATATTTTTAGTATTATATTCTTCATAATTTTCCATTTAGTAAATCTCTTTACTTTGTTGAAGCTGGTATGATGAGATGGTTAATTCTTTCTTTTATCTAACATAATAACGTGTATGAATGTGCACAAATGTTTGGGGTATGGAAAATTTTTTGCTCTATAAACAGTAGAGAATGAGATAACTTTTTGTGTTGTTCCCAAGAATTTTGTCTGGGTTATAAGGTGATAGTTGCCCAGCATTTGTTTAGGTAGTTTCTGCTAAATTACTATAGAAAGTATCTCAAGTGACATCTCCCAGTTTCATTCTTTGTTATTTGTACTAAAGGTAAAGAAGTACCTTATGATCTTTTAAATAGGATAATTATATGTTATTCCTATTTCTAAAACTCTACACTTTAAATTAAATTAATATTTTAAATTTTACTGGATGCAATGCAACATATAAGATGCAATGCTCCGTTTTATTTTTTGATAGTGATCTTATGTGGTCAGGTTTTAGTAGTTGAAAAATATTCCCTATGTATGAGGGAGGACTTAAAAGAAAGTAATTAATTTTTTTAAAAACTGTGTATTTATTCTTACATGTTGAAACTTCAGTCACCTTCAGAGTACTCTCTGATGCAATATACCTATTGAGACACTTTTTTTCACTGCTCAAAACGTTCTTTGAACTTGTCAGTTTTGATGCCTTTTTAGTGCTTCTGCTTTTTGTCTCACCTCTTCCACGTCAGCAAAATGTTTTCCTTTGTGGTCATTTTTTTTTTTTTTTTTTTGTCCAGGGAAGCAAGAAAAAGTTGCTGGGGTGAATAGGGAGGATGGGGCATTGAGGGTCATGCCATTTTTGGCCAAAAACTGCTGTAGTGTGGGCAGGTGTGCATATCAATCACCCATCATGAAATGGGCAAATGCATCGAAAGACTCTCCCAAAAAAAAAAAAAAAAAAAAGATTCACTGAAGCTAAACGCAGCCTCTCACAGCACTAGCTAGTATGCTGATGCCAATGGGTTCCTAGAAAACTTACCTAGTCGGGAAAGTCTGTACAGTAAGGGACCTGCTCTCCAAAAAATAATTCTGGTTTTTGGAGGCTCTTCCTCATATATTTCAGAGTGGTTTTGAGAATGAAATATGGTATTGTAGTGAAATCACTTTGCAAACTAAGTGCTATTCAAATGTAGTTATATATGTGCATGTAAGTATTAAAGTGCTGGAAGACAAACACTGAAGAAATATAATGCAAAGGGCAATTTGTAAGATATATTTATGGCTGTTCTAGAACATATCACTTGTCCTTAAATTTGCAGTTTTTATTCCTTGACACCATTTTTCATTAGCTATAATATACAAATAACATAAAAATTATTTTAAAGGTATTTTAATTTAGCATTTAAATATTGATTTTGATATTTGTGATTATAGCAATCACAATATGAATTTGTAAAAATGGCAAATTTTGTAATTATATACTTATATGTACTTAAATCCCTCATATCTTTAACAGTTTTGAATAGCAAATAGGAAATTGTATTTAATTTTTCCAGAATAGCAACATTTTGTGAATATTTTATTCTAAATAAGCCTTAAAAAGCTTGAGAGATGACTTTCTTTGGAGGATGTAAAAATAAGTGTTTTCCTGTAGATAAATACTTAAAAGCCCAGAAAATTGTTGCCTCAAATTAAAGCATGTAAAAGTTAAGAAAGCATCATTTCAAATGACAGCTCTGACTAAACTTAAATTTATTATGATGTTTGTGGAATGACCATATGAAGTAGTATGTTATAATTACAGCTAACCTCAAAAATGGGATTTTTTGTTTTCTTTTTTTGTAGTTTTCACCATTTCATGCCTCTGTGCTGGCCTCTTGCTCCTATGATTTTACTGTAAGGTACAGTGGTTTCTAATATGTTTCATTTTTAAATACTAAGTAGCATTTGCATTTTTTAGCCTTTATGAAAGATAATGTGTTTATCTTACTAATATGAAAATAGTCTGAGGTGGGTGCATTTAAATATTTACCATTAGGATTAATATATCTTTTCTGTCTTCATGATCTAGCCACATACATGAGTAAATTCTTTCTGTTCAAAGACTGTCCTGGTTGTTCTGTTAAAAGCCTTTTTTTCCTAACAGTTGTTCTTATAGTAACACTTTCCTACTCTATAGTTTGTATAGCCAGTATCTTTTATGTTTAGATTTAAAAATGGGGAAATTTCATTTCTTCAGGTCTAATTATAGAACTCCTAAGGCTAAGATTATTTAGATGTAAGAACAGTGAGCATGTGTTTGTATGTTTGTGACTGTAGATAGATGAATTTGTATGTATGTGTATGTGCATATATCTCTAGTTATGAGAGTGTGGGTGTGAGTTTGTCTCCATCCATACCTCCAGTTCCAAGTTTACACCACACAGGATTTACTCCTCTATTTTCATGTTTATAACTCCTGACTTCCATTATCCATAATATATTAAATACTAAACCCTAGAATGCTTAAATGCTTTTGTGAAAAAGAACAACTGATGAGGACATAGCATGTTTCGAGGGGTTTTTTTTTGTTTGGTCTTTAGTCCAAATACCGTATTCAAAAACTACTTAGGTTAATTATCCTCTTCTCTGTCAGAGTGTGGTTATGTTATTTATTTGAAAAATGTTTGATTTATTTGTTTCTGTTTGTATTCCACTTTAGATTTTTCTTCCCATTTTTGGTTTTGTCTAATTTTCTGAGCAGACAAAACATTAACATGGTTCCTAAAATCAATATGTACATAGAGACAAATTCAGAAGGGTATCATTTCCCCTGCCTCTATTTCCTCTGTCTTTCCATTCCATTTGTCCCTTATGCTGTGGGTAACTAATCTTGCCAAGACACACAGATGCATTTAAAATTTTCCTATTTTTCCCCTTTCTTACAAAAAGAGTGAGGTACTCTGGATATTCTTTTAAATTTGGGTTTTTTTTTTTTTTTTTTGCATAAAATACGTCCTGAACATCATGCTGTATCAGAGAAATTATTGCATAATACTTTACCATGTCAATGTCATATTGTTTATTCGGTTATTCTCCTGTATGTAGGCATTTAGCTTGTTTTCAGTGTTTTATAAATAAATATTGCAACAACTAATAATAGCCGTGTGTGTGTGTGTGTGTGTGTGTGTGTGTGTGTGTGTGTGTGTGTGTGTGTGTTTACATTATTAGAGAATTAATGTCAGTATATTCCAAATAGTGGGATTGCTGGGTTAAAAGGTAGATATAAGTAGTTAGATATTACCAAATTCCCATCCATAAGGACTGTGCCAGTTTCTGTATTTAGCAGCAATGTTTGAGAGTGCCTCTTTCTAAAAGTCATTGATTCTTTAGGGTCTTCCAGGTGCATGATCATATTACCTGCAAGTAAATATAGTTCTACATCTTCATTTCCAATTCTGATCCCTTTAATAGATTTCTCTTATAAAATTATCTTGGCGAGTACCTCTAATACAATGTTAAATAGTTTATGGAGAATGTCTGATTTCTGATATTAGTGAAAATGCTTCTAGTGTTTCTCTGCTAAAAATAAGATTTCTGGTTTTAAGACTATATATATGTGTGTGTGTGTGTGTATTTGTCATACGAAGAAAGTATGCATCAATTTCTATTTTCTTGAGTTTTTAAAAATTCAGGAATGGATTTTAAGTTTTGTTAAAGACTTTTTTCAGCATTGATGGAGATAATCTTAATCTTTCTTCTTAGAGCTATTAATATGATGTATTATATTAATGGATTGAACCAATCTTGCATTCCTGGACTAGTTACCACATGTTCTTACTGTGCTGTTGTATTCTGTTTGCTAGTATTTTATTTAAAGCTCTTAGATAAATGTTTAAAAGTGATATTAGTCCATAGTTTTCTTGTCTCACTTTTTGCTTGCTTTCCTCTTTTTTCTTTTGTCTATAAGTTAGTTTGACTTTATAAAAAAAGATTAAGAAATTTTCCTTCATTTTTCAACACTCTGGAATTGTTGATACGGCATTGAGGCTATTTGGTTTTTGAGGTCTTCATAGAATTGCCCCGTAAAACTATTTGGGCATGGTGCTTTTTGTGGAGTACTTTCTTGATAGTTTTATTTCTTTTATGATAAATGGTCTATTTAATCTTTCTATTTCCCATGGGATCAATTATAGATGTCTATAAAGTAATGTCAGGACTTTTTCTGTTTCAATAGTTATTTAATGCTTGTCATTTCTGATTTTGTATCTTTGTGCATTCTCCCTTGGTTAAGTTATCTAGTAGTATGTTTATTTTATTATTTTCCTTCAGTAAATGGGATTTTGATTTGTTAATTAGAGCTCTTGTTTTTCTATTCTCTACTTTATTAATTGCTGCTTTTATTTTTATTATTTCCTTTTTGCGACTTTCTTTTGGTTTACTTTTTTTCAGCTTTTTGTGTTGGGAATTTATTTTTATTCTTTAATTTTTTTAGCAAAGTGCCTAAGCCTATGAATTTTCTTCTGTTTACTGTTTCAGCAGTAGCCTGTATATTCTGATATATAATGTCTTCATTATCTTTTAAAAATTTTTGTAGGTTCTGTTTATATTTCCCCTTCTAAGAGTTGTAAAATCGGTAGTTATTTAGTTTCCAGTTGAAAGGACTGTTTAATTTTTAAAAATTTGTTGATAATGTCTAGTTTTATTGCATTGTGATCAGAAAATACTGTTTTAGTGATTCTGTTTTATGGAACATATTGAAATTTGGGGGAGTGAGACTTACTAAATGACCAGTTTTGTGAATGTTTCATGTGCAGTTGAGAAGGCTATAAAATTCAGTATATAACCATACACTTACTAATTGATTATGTTGTTTAGATCTTCAGTATCCCTTCTTATTTTTGATCCACTTAATCTAAGAATGGTTCTTAAAATCTGTTATTATCAGGTTTCTATCTATGTTGCCTTGCATCTTTTGTAGGTTTGATTTTATAGAGGTAGTTAAATGCTGTGTTTTTTGGTACATAAACATTTATAATATTCATATAGTAAGTTGAGGCTTTTAGCATTGAAAAGTTTCCTTCTTCATCATGGTTAATACTTTTTGTGTCTGTTATGCCTCGTTTCATATCAGGATCATTGCCCATGCTTTCATATTATTTCTACTTTCCAGATATACCTTTTCCCATACCATTATTTTTAAACCCATTTTGTTCTAAAAACATTTCTAGTATAGAGTGTATATTGGGGTCTTACTTGGTGAGCTAAATAAAAAATATTTTATTTATTTAATTCATATTTCTTGATTAAAATGTTTAGTATCAAATCTGTCATAGCTTATGTTGTAATTATTATGTGTATTTGCTGTGTTTATTTGTGATATGTTTTTTGTTGTGCTTTGTTTTTCTTCTTTTACTACAAAATGTATTGATATTTAGGTTAGTTTTTGTTTGTTTTAGTGACTACCTTTGGTTTTATAACTTTTCAAATGTCTTTATTCCCTTGATTTTTAAAATATAACCATTATTAACCATTAACCTGGCTTGTGAGTTTTTAATGGTGTTTATTTTAACTCTCACCTATTACATATATGGCAACCAATAAACTTATTCTACTTTCCTTTTTTAATATTCCTCTTCACCATCAGATTTTGAGTTGTTTCATTCATACTTTGTCAGAACATGCAACACATAATATTATAGTACATATCATGTGATATATTTTCATTTTTGATTCCACTTTGATTTTAGTCTGAGACAGATAACTATATTCATTGCATGCTCGTTATAAATTTTTTGCTGAGTTTTTCCCCATCATCTCTTGGTCTGATGAAGTTTATCTTCTAGTATATTTCTCAAGAGGGACTGCTGGGAATTCTCGTGAATTCTTGTATGTTTAAAACGATTTTTTTAAACCTCGATACTTGAAGGATAGTTTTGCTGAAGATAAACTCTTTGATTTATATTTCTTTCCTTGAGTGTTTTGAAAATGCTACTACATTTTGCCTTGATTTTTATGTTATTTTTGAGAATTCTGATGTTGATCTAATTCTCTTTTCCTTTTAAATTGTTTGATCTTTTTTACCAGGGACCCTAAGGAAAAAGCAACTCTTGCTGCATTTCAGTTTTCCCTGCTGTGGGCTAAAGAGTTAAGTGGAATCTTTAAGTGTAGATTCATTTATTCTTTTATGTCCAGAAAGGTTTGGTTTTTTTTTGGATTACAATGGTAATAATTACAATTATAATCACTTTTGTATAATTTTATAATAATTATGATTGTTCGACTCAATTGTTTTATCTTCTACAGGACTCCAGTTGTATATAAATGAAATCTCCTTTACCTGTCTTCTATATCAAACACTTTTTCTCTAATATTATTTCTACTTTCTTTATCACATTTTTATTCTCTTAGTTATTTTCTTGTTGTCTTCAATGCCCTTATTATGTTTTTGTGTGAATCTGTTCTTCTTTGGGCCCCACATAATTTTGTCTCCATTTGTGATATGATTTTTCTTTTTTTCTTCTCTTTCTTTCTTGAGTTCAGTCAGTTCTATTTCACTTCTTTCTGGTTTTGTCCACTTCTTTGTTTTTGAATTCCTGATGAAGATGTTTTTGTTTTTATTTTTCCTTAAGTGCCCAAATGCTTGCTTGAAGATATTTGATTTGGTTTGGAATGATATGTTATAGTTTTCTACTTTGCTGTTTGTTTTGTTGAGGAAAATTTTTGTATAGATGAGTTCTTGTTGTGTTGCTTGCCTACGCTGGTCTTGAACTCCTGGGCTCAAGTAATCTTTCTGCCTTGGCCTTCCAGAGTGCTGGGATTACAGGCATGAGTCACTGCACAGGCTGACTTTCTTTTTCTAATGGTGGTTTTAGATCTGTTAGGCCTGATCCTAGGTCTTCTCTGTTCTATTTAGTGTTAC